GTGCATCTGCTTGCCAGCAGGCAACTCACATGAGATTTAAGGGTGACTTGAAATCAAAGAACTTTCTTTTCCTATCCTCACTGCAACCATTCGCCTGGTGTGCTTTTCTGGTGCAGTCAAAACCTCTTTTTTTTTCAATCCACTTCCACCTGGGCTGTATATGAAGTTCGCTCCAGGTCTGACAAACTTTTGTAATGGGGATGATCAATTTCACCTTTGGCAGAAGAATTTCTCCCTAAAGGACTCATGGATCAGGACATCCCTTGGCTGTCTCAAAAGGACTCAGATATTTAGTGGCTGGCCAGCCACTTCTGAAAGAACAAGTGAGAACAAGTGAAAGAACCATTTGAAAGGATTGCTAGGCTTTCTTCCTCTTAAAATATTATATATGTATAATAAATATATAAATAGTATAACATGCTTTCAATCATTCTCTCTGAATGAAGTAAAAACTACTTCAGCAGGGTCACTTTAGAGGAAAGTGACAAAGACCTATGAGGAGAAGATAGAAGCATATTTAAATTTAAGTATAAACATCTAACCAAGGATTTACAGACAATTTATGTCTAATCAGAACTTGATGGTACTAAAAGAAATAACAACTTTAAATCCTACCATTTATCCATTTAAATTAAACATAGAAGCACTTTTGGGGTTTATAGAAATTAAATCCCTGACCCTGAATTCATGTTCCTCTGACAGGTATTGATTTTCAAGGAAATGGGATTGACCATAGTTGCTTCTAAGTGTCAGCTCTGTTTGTCAAAGCACACATGAAAAACAGAGAATAAAGAAAAATATATAATAAGTATCTCTAACACAATTTTTTTTATTTGGTAATTTTGAATTTTTTTAGAATTCTGAATTTTTTTAGACTTATTTCCATATTCAAAATATTGAAATATGTTTGCAAGCAGAGATAACAGACAGAATCCCTGCAAGTAAAACAATAGGTGAGCTTTAATGTATCATTAATGCCTGAAGGAACTGCTTGGTTTAGCTCCTGCCTCTACTCACAATGTGACAACATCAAAATTATTTTCATATGGTTATCTTTTAGATCTTTGCAATATGAATTGATCACAGCATCCTGAACTTCACCCAGATGCACAGGTTTAGAGATGGTAAAGTCACTGTTGTACAATTACACCCTTCTGTCTTTGCTTTGCATAATAGACAGACCTATCACATTTCTTTCCCACTGTAAGTGGGTATTGTATTACAATGCCCAGTTGATTATCCAGTCTGGCTCCTGAGTCTCTTTTCTACTTGTGGCCTTCTCTTCCTCCCTGACAGGGTTGCCCTGAACAAGGTGTGCAGGTGCCATGCTGTCTTGCTACCCAGGGAGAAGAGCGCACAAGAACTTTCAAAAAAAGTATGGAAAAGTGTTTTGAAATTCATTGTCTGAAAATATTTTCTCTAGAAACTTCAGAAGCTGAAAGTTTGTGAGAAACAAACCCAAAGTTAATGTGAAGGTGGATGAACAGAATTCATTGTAATCAAGTAACTGTGCAACTATTTTGGCTACATTCACTCCATCTATCAATCATCATGTCACTCGAATAAAAACAAGCCAAGAATATAACCTCCAAAGAAGGAAAACAATCTGCACTAGTTTCAGAGACCAATGTCATTAAGTATTTCCACTCATTGTGTGATACTCAATTCATAATCATAAACTACCTTAATGTCTGACGTATATAATTTAGTAGGATGAATTTGGGGTATTTGAATCCACACATATGATAATTTTGCCCTCCCAGGAAGCTGTTGCTTTAGGCAACCACTGGCTTTCCAGGTGCCTATAGCATAAGGTACACATGGTTACCAGTAGTTGGCTGTGCTGCAGAGTTTGTTTTTATTACTTTGCAGTTTCACAGAAAGGAAGAATCTATCTCAGATACCTACTTGAATGATTTTTTGCTTGCAGATAAAGTTTGTACATTAATTAGGAAATATTTTAGGGAGGTATTAGTGCTATTCAGTGAAACAGGATGATAAGGTCATGATGAGTGTGACTCAAGAAAACTGATTTGACTGACTCCCCAGCCAAATGGCTTAGGGTCTGTATCTGCCCTTCCCTCTGTGGACTGTTCTGGAATATGGGTTCTAGAAAGAAAATATTACTAGGAGTTGAATAATGAAGGTCGTAGTTTAGTTCCTATATCTTCTACAGGTTATAAAACTACTGTGCAAAAAGACTTCTTTCATATTCCTTATATCATTATACGCTGATGTAATGCTGCAGGAGAACTAGTACTTTTGAAAGTCGCTGTAATTATGGTGGAGATCTGGTGATGGTGTCAGGAAGGCTTGAAGATTTCTGATTGTTAAGGAAATAGGGACTGCATTATGTAGAGATTTGCTTCTCCTATTAAGAAACAAGTTATAAAGAGGCCCTGGATAAACTGTAACACTTTAAAGAAGGTAGTATAAGTGAATGAGAAGGGGGAAGACTAAAGAAATACATTTTATTTTTCCTGGCCCCAGAAGAAAGTTATTTCCAGAGAAATAAAAATGTAAGTTGAACAATGAGACTCAGTCTCACTGTTACATAGCAACAGAGAGGCAGATAGCATGTGTATTAAGAGTTGCTGTCACAGTCCTTCCCTGGGTAACATCTGTCAGGAGACAAAGAAACAGAAGAGTTCAGCTTGCTGCAGCACCCCATGCTCCACAGACAGGCAGGAGGCTGTACCTGATAGTGTGGAAGCCAGGTGACCACCAGCCAGATGGCCGGCTTTGCCATTCCAGGTTACCAGCCCTCTGTTGGGTCAACACAAATTAATTCCTAGGTCTCCTAGTTCGATAGAACCTGCCAAAAGTTGGTGGGTACTTTTACTACGTGAACTACTAAGGGAACTAAGGAAAAACCTGCAGCAGGAAAGAGGCAGAAACATCTCAGCAACTTTAGCTGCTGCAGTGTATCAAGTGCTCTCTATTTCTGAAACAGATTAATGCCCACTGTTTATTTGGCTCTCTTGAGAACTACAAGACTTTTGCTTTGCAGGAGTTCTGATAAGCTGCTCTTCCAAGTAAAATTCTCCTGTTTCTGTGAAATATGATGAAGAGTAAACACACTACCAACTCATTTTCACCAGGGTTTGGTGTGAAGCTCTCCATCAGCTTAACTACAGAAAGTCGAAAGAAAACAGAAGGCAAAACCCAAAACAAATGGACCCCTCTTAGGCATGACATTTTGCATACGCTGGTATTAGAAGAATGAATCACAAAATATCAACAAAATCACTCACAAATTGTATACAGCAAAAGGTAATGTTTGTTCATTTGCATACATTATGTAGTAATACCAGCAGTAACTCCATTCTGCTTAGTAAAAAATAAGCACCAAATTTTAATTTTGCAAGTCCAATTAATAAGTCACTGATCATTGCACAGCTGGAAGCAAGATCAGTTGCCCTTTACTGCCTGTTTGCTGCAGTCAAGACATTAATTCGAATTTAAATGTTTACAAAACTGGCAGTTGCACAATCAATGTTACAGCAGAACTTCTGAAAGCAATTTCTGAAGTTTTTGCTTATTTTCCAAAACACTGTTTTATTCCAGCTCCCTTACAGAGAGTAATTTTCAGCCTTTAATGATTTCTAAACACTAGGCAGTCCTTTCATGTCTAGAATTTGTTTCAATTACTGATCTGATCTGAACCCTCATTAGGTCATATATCTCATCCTCCATTTTCACTAATCAGTGAGAACAAAACAAAAAATAAAATGAGAAATTTAATAGTCTTGTCTCCATGCCTATAAAAATATCAACCTGTATCAGTATCTTTGTTATCCTAATGTCAGCTACAACAGAGAACCAGATTTTCTCTATTTGCTAGTTTTACAGGGTCTGATTAACAGTATGATCACTTTCTAATTGTCCATGGTAGGGGTCGTCTAAACAGGATGGTATTGAGTACATTATAAAACTGGGTTTATGAACTTAATGGGTGTAGAGAAAGTAGGGCTCTCAAATATGTACTTCTTCTCATAAATCTAAGAACTAAACAAAAGGATCCAACTTACTGGGAAAAAAAATAAATCATGAAATCTCTTATATTACTGAGGTATTTGATACAGGAGATGACAAATTGAGTAACAGGGTCATCTAAAGTTCTTGTTCCGGGAGTTTGCTTTGCAGCAGTTCCAGTCTTTCCTACTCTCCCGGTCCTAATACAGTTACCAACCACTGCATTTTTTCTGCATGACTTGGCAATGTTGTCTTTGTTGGCTCCTCCCTGTGTGGAGATAAGTCAAAGGGACAAAAATTAAAGAAATAATCACGGGCAGATTTTTGCCTGATGATTGAAACCACATTATTTGCCTTAATTTCTGCTGGAGCAAGGTTTTGAATCTCAAGCTGAGGCCGGCGGCTGGCACAGGGCAGATGACCAGAAGACTTGCTGAGCCAGTGTATAGACAGTGTCTTCAGGCCTGTATGCTAGTTAAAGATGCAAAACTTCTTGACTGACCTCAGTTAGAAGACCCTTTTCAGTCACATCTGCTGACTCTCTGAGGCAATCAATTCGTAGTTTGCTTTCATCAAAATGAGTTAGGTTGCTTTAATCAGTCAAAACATAGTATGTCTGCAAGTGAAGTAATTTGAGTTGAAGCAAGCACACAAACATCTCTACTGCAGGTGAGGCAATAGTGATTTCTGAGAGAAAACATAAGGTAGTAACGTAAATGATAATGTTGTCACAGGTTTTAATTTATATAATCAGTTGTAAAAAAAAATAACCACAAATTGCCTTTAAAGCATGCATGTAGGGTGCAGGAGACTGAAGCTGTGACCAATGTGTCACCTTTGTCTCAACATGTCGCAGAGATAAGTACTTTCAAAGCAGTTAACCCTTTCCCAGCCACGTTTTCAGTAGTGATTAAATCGGTATTTCAAGGACTGGCACTGATATGTGAATTGCCCCATGACAGGGGAACTCCCTCACGCAGCACAGAGAAGGCAGGATAATAGCAGGGATTGTGGCCCAAAACTACTTTATCAAATCCAGGATTAAACTGCTCTTCTCCTGGCTGTATATCAGACTTCACTTGCCTCTCTCTGGTTGCTTGCAGAGAAATGGTGACTGAGAGTTCTGTGCATTGCCAGAGGGTGGATGCTTGCTACAGCAATTACACTCAAGGGTAGTTTGGGTTTAAGTAACTGCAGTCAGTCTGCCATGTCACAGAGCAGGTATCAGCTTTGTGATGCTTGACAATGTTTCCTTTTTTTATTTCACCTTAAAAAATAATAATCATAAATAAAGCACGTTGGTCCCATTTCTCTTGTAAATCCTGGCTGTTTTCTACTGCTCTGACAACATAAACCAGCTGTACTCTCTGATGGAGCACCGAGCAGCCAGAGCATACCAATGAATCCGATCTCAGTAGTTGGTCTGCTCCCAGTAAGGTATTATTTTCTATTTGCCAGGACTAATTCTGCCATAAATACAGAACGTAAGCATTTTGCATGCACTGTGGTATTTTTTAATCTTTGATCACATCTGCATCAGGAAAAATATTCTCTTTTCTTCACAGGAATCATTGAACCTTATATGTCTGATTTCCCCCATCTACCATGTAGTTGTGTGATTACTGAAGACACATTTGACATTAATATAATGATCAAAGACTCAAAAATCATAGCTGAAGCATTTTCCAATTAGTGGGGTCAAGGATATTGACGTTTCAATAGTTTGACTGTATTTTTGAAGCATAAATATCTGGCAAACAGCCTTACACATTGTTTGACTCTTTGCAATTATATACATATTTAAAGTATTTTAAGTGCACAAAATAAAATTAGCATTAATGTCTTGTTGACCAGTGGTCTTCAGACCTTTCTCGGTAATGACTAACACTGCTCAATCAGAGGGAACATCCAATGTTTTCTTCAGCCCAGAAAGCATCCAGCTTAATTATATGTGCTTCATTTGGTCACCATTCATTTTGGAGAGTTTTGCCATTCCCTTCTTCCCCTTTCCTACGTTTTCAGTTACAAATCCAGCTTGCCATCATCTCTGCCCTTTCTTTGCAGCTCCTCCTCTTCCTGGAGTCTCAGGACACCATATTTCCTTTTCCCAAAATAGCAACCTTCTTCTAGGGGACAGGATTTCATCTGTGGTGGTGCTGGCCATCTTCTTCCTCCTTTCTTCCAATAGCCCCTGACTGTTCTTGCATTTCCCACAGGAAAGAAATACCTCACTTTCCTGCTGGGTGATACTAGGTTTTCTAAAACACTGCAGAAAGATAGATGTTTAAAAGGGCTGCTAATATTTAATGGATCTAAGAGCGCAAGTCCTCAGAGAGACTTTGAAAATCCTACCATGTGATGGCCTTGTACCTTCAACAACAGCAACTGGCTCTTTGACCTGAGTTCTGGTTCAGCCTTGCAGTGATGTCTTGCTCGTCCCTCTCTGTAAAGACTGTGCTTCGTAATTTAAGGAAAGGTAAACTCACAAGCTGAAAAGATCCTGGCAAATACTAGAAACAAACTGTCTCACCATTTTCTAATAGGAAAGCAAAAAACTAAGTAAATATTTAAAGATCTTAAACTTATTCAAACAGAAACACACAGCCTGCTGGGAGAAACTGGGAGAAACAGAGAGAAGCTGGGGTGATTTGTGCTGCCAGCCATACAGTGGCTTGTTCATGGAGCAGCTGGATCCAACCCTGGCTTTGCACAGAAAAGATGTAAATTGTGAAGGAGCCCAAGCACAGCTCAAAACAATGAGATCCACTTGCACTGTTTCAGCATTAAATAAACTGTGCTTTTAAACCCAGGAGATAAGTTTGGGAACACTCACCATTTGATCATAACCAGCTGGGAAGAAACATAGCCAGTTTCCAGTAGGCAAGAGGTCTCTCTTAGCTCAGGTGTCTCTTGATGTTGCGGACATGCCTCCACAGAGTTTCTGTAAATCACTGTTCAAACTAATTCTTTTCAATTTTGTGCTTAGATTATAAAAGCACATCAGTGCTCAGACACAGCTCTTCCTCTACCAGACCCTGGCACAGAGAAGAGATAGGGTCACAGATCCTTTCTCCCAACAGAAACAAGGCTCTTGAATTCTACCCAGAGCACATCACTAACTCAAATTAACTGTCCACAGCAAACAGTGGCTGAGACATCTGGCCATCTGGCTATCATGAGCAGCAAGTGGAATTAGCTCCTTTTTATCACATTTATCCTCTCTGGAGACCACCAACTCATTCATAGAGGAGGAAAGTGGCACTTCCTGCAATCCAAGAGCCTTTCTACATCCCACTTCTCTTATACCAACTGCCAATCTATAGAGGAAGGAATTATTTTCCCAATTAATATTACCATGAAAATCAAGCATAAGTAAAAGAAGAAATTTAAAATATGAATTACAGCAACTGCTAATACAAGAGTAAGGAAATAAATCTGCTTTCTCTGAAAGCTTTACTTTACTTTAAAGCTGTGCCTGATACACATCTTCTCTAAGACACATTTTTTGACAAAACAAGGGAATTTTTCTTATTGCTGTCAACTTTAATCCAACAACCTGGCCTTAGAATCACTTACGTTTGAGAAAATATATCTTGATGTATTAAATACATTCTTTATCACTTAATAACACAAAATCCTTTTAAGTTTCTACCCTTTTATGATATGTATCCAGTGCCTTCTTCCAATCATCTATTCAAGTCTCAATAAGTGACTTAACAAATTTCACATCCCAGTCTTTATGCATCTTAGAAAGATATGCATCACACTTGGTTTTTCATGGTGTCTCTGCTATCAGAAAGAGCATAGCTGGGAATCTCAGTTAGCTCAAATGTGCCCAAATTTGGTATTTGTAAAGATATATTTGATCATCTTTCCTCCTGGTCTTTGTGCAAAACATTGTCTGCAGATGCACAAGAAAGGCAACCCACAGCACTGGGCATCTTCAAAAATCTTTAAATACTTACTTTCCTGAGACAGACAGGCAAGAAGCACCAGGTGGTGTGGGATTCTCATGAAGAAGATAAAATAAGGCCTGTGCAAGACCTTTAATGTGCAGAGACCAAGCAAAATCTTACATAAAGATTATGATTACCCCACGCAGTTAATCATGGAGTGTTGCAATATTGTTTCTGCTCACAGAGATTGAATCCTAAGACAGAAAAATTCATGGACCCACTTTATCAGATTAGGACCAGACTGTTCTTACTTGTAGGTGCTTTTGACCATACCCCAGTTAACACCCTTTTACATCCAACATCCAATAGTGATATTTAGCAATGGACATTTAGCAATATATCAGTCGTTATTTTGATAAAAACAAATTAATAAACCACTTACTGAGTCATCCAACACAGTTCCCATGTAGTCTTGCACTATGAAGAGGACGTTGTTATAGTGGTATCTTGATCCACCAGAGAGCATCCCCAGGAAACAGGTTGTTCAGAGAATATAACTTCTCCTAAAGCATTATAAATAAACCCAGCATTTCAAATATATATGAAAAAATATTGAGAGAAAAAAAACCCAGACAAGCCAGAGAAAGGGAAACAGTTCTTCACAACCATTCACCAAAGGTATTAAACGAGTTTGGGCAGCCTTTGTGTAAATGTTATTAAATATAAAAACCTATTCCCATAAAACATATACATATTATTATTTAAGTTTTGTGTGACCTCTCTTTTGTCCTTAAAACACTGCAAAATAACAGCTTTTAATAGAGGTATTCCAAGTATGAGCTGATATATAGCTGACTGCCTCCAAAGGAGAGCTGCTTCCCTCAGCTCCTGACACCAGTAAGAATTTTCAACATGTGTCTGTCAGAAAAAAAAAAAATCCAGACACTATACAATCTTCAAGAAATGCACTGGCATCTATTTAATCTGAAGTTATTTTGGTCATGATGGGCTTTCATAGACTTGCATAACAAATAGATGTTGCCATGTTACCTTAACAGTAAAACAGATCTGGGCTTCTCTTCCTCACTTATACAATTAGCCACTGTTGTTCAGTGAAATGGAATTGTTTAACCTGTCTGGGAAACGACAAAGCATTTTTTTAACATATTTGTCTGTGTGATCACAATCCCTCAATATGCCATATTTATTCCAAACTGTATTCTATCACGTCTCCTAAGCTTTTCCAAAATCTGACTTGAGTTTCTGATATATAAAACAACTATGAAAGTTATAAAAGGAGAAAATAAAACAAACATTCTTTCTTTTTTAGCAGTATCTTTGACCATTTTAGGTGGGTTGGGGATAGTAGGATTAAGGGCACTTCACTTTCTGCTGCTTGTTGCTGTCATGCTGTGTTGCAACACGTTGTAATAGCACTTTCACCAGACAGAAAACACTTCTGAGATTAGCAGAAAAATTAGTAGAAGAATCAACAAAAATATGAGCATAATCTGTCTTCATTGTGTTATTAGGTAGCCAAATAATTTTTTTCCTTATTCTGTCTCTATTTCTCTTCCACCATTTTTAAAACCTCCATCTATCTTTGCAAAAATGCTCTTTTAAAGGGAACTTTTGCTACAGTTTTTGCCACGGTAGAACTGTGAATTGTCTTGGTACCTTCTCTGGGAATTAGTTATTGTCTAGTGATAACATTTGTGCAGCTTCCACAATTCACAGAGTTTACTGTATTAGGCTATTTCTCTACATAACTATCACAAAAGAATTATTCAACCAAAGGAAATGAAAGTAACTTTTAATACAAAAGATGCCTTCTAGTTTAAATGTTCTCTTTTGATGCAATTTTGTTTTTAACTTGCTTTGCCCAAGGCTGTATTATAGTAAATAATGTCATTATGGTGGAGCTCTGAATCTCATACAGGCCAGACTATTTTCACAAAGAAGTGGTTCTGCAGAACAGCTCATCTATTAAAGAAATGCCATGAAACATTTTGTTTACTGTAGATTTAACAATATAATTGTACAGATCTTTTTGGCTTAGAGGCAATTATTTGACCAGTCCAAATGATACTATAATTTAAATGCAATTCAGTTTTTATACTAGGATACAAGTTCTGTAAAGGCCTGCAAGTGCAGCCCAGCTAACAAAGAGAGGCAGGTAAAACTCTACAGCATACAGTATGGTAAGCTGCCATGGTAACAAATATAGGGCAAAAACCTGTAAAAAAATGATTTTGAGTCCTTGAATATCTAAGATCCCATTATGGAAAAAGGTAAGTACATTTTCAGAACCTCATATTTTCAAATTCAGTTATATGTCTTATTTCCATTTTAGTTTTAAGATTGGAATTGGAATCAAATATTTAAACTTGTAATAATGATAGTTATGATCCAAATAACTGGGATAAAGCTTGGAGAAGGTCCATATAAGTTGAATATTTGGCTTAATCTACCTGACAGGAAACTCTTTGGATCTATGGAAACTCTCTGAATCTATGGAATAATTTTCCCATGTGAAATGAATCCAGGTCTGCCTTCTGGCATATTTTAAGGTAAATATGATAGCGTCAACTCTAATCTGAAACTTTCCAAATACTGAATGACTGAATATATAGCTCATGAAAACAGTGCTTTACAGAGATTCAGGTGTTCAATCTTTTTTAATTACAGTCTTTTTTTTACAGGGACCAGATCATAAAAAATTTCTTCAGCCTGTAGCCTAGATTCAACTTCTAGCTACAGTATTTTGATATTCACAGAAGGGAAAAAGAAAGTAATTATCTCCAATAAATAATAAATATTGCATTTGAAGTTTGTATTTACCAAAACAGGATTATTCCTTCTGCTCATTTTGGGCAGCTCTCTAAGTGATAACAAGTTCCAATAACTTTCCTGGTGAACAATGTACCTGGTTGCCTATGCCTTCCAGTGGAGAATTTGGGGGTTTAGGGCCCACATATTACAACAAAGCACTCGCAAATCCATTTGTTCATGTGTGTGAAAAAACAGGAAAGTTTACAGATGATTATGGGTCTGGAAGTCTTATACTGAAAAAAACAACGGAATGTTTCCTTAAAGCAATCTCTGAAACTTGTAAAGAGAGGTAATACATTACAATAGAGTAATTACTTTTAATCTCATTCAGACTGGTTTAGGACTCAATTCCACAAAAATTCAGCAAAGAGCAATGGAGGAGATGTGAAAGAAAATAATTCCACTAATCTATATTCTTTTTTTATGATTACGGAATATGTGGGACCAAATTACTAAGATGATTTAAATTATCATAATTTCATTGAAATCAATGGTCTTACATTCATTGCATCATTTGAGACTGGAGTAGCTGGCATTTAACAATGCATTGGAACCAGCTAAGTTTGCAGAAACATAATTTTTTTAATACAATTTGTTTTC